TAAAAATCTTACTTCGTTTAAAAGATATTGAAATTTCAAATTTTTCGGCGGGTTTGATTGACATATCCTTGCACTCTCACAAATTTAATTTTATTCTTAATCCTTAGGAAATGTGGCAATCTCGTTTTGTATAAATGAAAAATATTAATACTATAATCCAGAAAATTCAGAGTAGACACGTTCGAAAGCAAAACAAACACACAATATATTGTCAGTCCGTGCAGTTGTGGTAAGCAGACTGTGACGATTGAACGCACCCGGTGAATTCTAAATATAAACAATAACAGAACTCGAGCCCTGTTTACAAAAACTGTGTACCTAACTCGAGTGTGCTCGATTTGCTAAACTCTGTACGCATCTCTTAGTTCGGAATGAAAATACTTGTGAAGGTGTTTTGCTTTCTAACATTTCTACTCTGAATAAAATTATTTTTCTTGATAAAAGTTTTAATATTTCTCATTAAAACATCAAAATTGCCACTTTTCCTAAGGATTAAGAATAAAGTTAAAATTTGTGAAAGTGCAAGGATGTGTCAATCAAACCCGCCAAAAAAATTAAAGCTTTAATAACTTTTAAATGAAATAAGATTTTTAATTAATTTCTGTGTGAAATGCTATTAAAATATATAATTCTTGATATTATACAGAAAAAATGAGAAAAATTAACTTCAAATCTGTGTCCAAATACCTTTAATGCCCAGATGTCAGAATTTAAAAATTTACAATCATGAATGTAGCTCAATTATAATGGAGTAAATTTTTGCATACTAGTAGTAAGTACTAAATGATACTTAAATAAATGAATAATTTTGTATTTTACAAAACACTTAATATGAAATTAAAATTTTATTAATTTAAGATACCCTGACAACAATGGGTCATCATGTCCAAACAAATCAATAACAATATACACATGTAAATATAAAAATAGAATTGTTTGTAAAAATTTAAATCTGCAATACATCAGAACACAACAGGTAAAACATGCAGTCATTCTTGACTCCAAAAGACTGCAAAATCTGTGACTGAAACTGACCCTATTAAAACTACTGCATGGGTTGTAAATGGTTTTTCAATTTCCCACAAAAAATCATATCATACTTTGAATAAAAGAATAAAAGTTGGCAATAAAAGTTGCCCTTTTTTTCATGTACATCTATTAAGAAACACTCAGCCACTGACAGATAAGCCTTACTCGCCCACAAGTAAGAGCAAAAGGATCGGTCAGAGACGCCACCTTTCACTTACTTGGGTATCAAGATCTGCAACTTACTGCCAGCAAAGCTCTTTCAGACTACCCTTATATTGTTTCCCAAGTATTTCCACAATAGATGTCCATGCACTAATTATCAACCTGTAAAAATATGGCAATAAATCCAGATTAAAAGTGTATGTTCATGTGTGCGACACAATAAGCCAGTCGATCTGGTATCAATAAAAAATATGACAGCTTTTAAATCATTAACCGAGTACAGTAAATACTTTATATTGACTGTGAAAAATACAACATCAAAAAAATCTTTTATATCATTTGTTTATGTCAATTCAAATTGAAGAAAAAGCATCACATTTACATAAAATAGTAACAGCTGATAATTTGTCTCTAATACCCCATATCTGTTCCAACTGCTAGGTTTATTGCTTGATGATTATAACTTTAACATATCCTCATTTTACATTGGAATGCAAGACATTTTGATTGTGATATTTTTTCAGTCATTAATCTTCTACATTTTGCCTCAAAATTTCAAGAATCAGCCCTGAAACATGTACATATAAAATGTCCTGTATAACATATGTACAAGTATGTTTAACAATTTTTTAGCCGTAATTACAATTTAATCTAAATGCAAAAAATTCACTTCATAAACTCTTGAACATCATATGGAAGGAAACAAATTAATATTTTACTCTTGCAATTCCCATTACTCTTGCAAAATAAAATTTATTAAAATCACATTTCACCCTTTTTTACTCAGAAATTTTTCTATCTCATCTGCTTAGTCTACTTTTTACATCTATGACATACTAAGCCACTGTCTGACAGAGAAGCCTCACTCGCCCACAAGCAAGAGCAAAAGGATCGGTCAGAGACACCACCTTTCTCTTACTTGGGTATCAAGATCTGCAACTTACTACCAGCAAAGCTCTTTTAGACTACCCTTGATTGTCTTATTTTTTTCCACAATAAATGTCCATGCACTTATTATTTCAGTCAAACATGTACATATATGTATTTTATAAATCAAGATAAAAATGTATGTGATTGCATACTACACAATAAACCAATCAATGTTTAAACAATAAAAAATATAACAGTTTTAATCTGTAATGAAGTATCAGAAAAAACTTTAAGTTTCAAAAATACAACACTAAGTATATTTTTCTTATCCAACATTGAATGTGTCAATTAAAGTTAAGTAAAAAAAAACATCACATTTGTGCAAAACGGTAATAACTCAGATATTTGATCTCTAATAGCCCATTTCTGTTCAATCGCTACATCATTAGGTTTGACTCTTTTAGATTCTTTATTTGTCCTAGTTCTTCTTATGCTCTGCCTTTCAGAGTGTTTTGATTTGAGAGTGGCATTTTTGGTGTCCTGTTCTTTGAGGACTTTTTCACATTTATCAGACGCCACTTCATTTGTCTAATTTCATAGATAGTATCATCTTTCGAATCATTTTTTGTACTATGAAGACGTAATCAATATTCAAAACTGCTTCTTCTTGCTTTTTCTTCTCTTCATCCCAAGAAGTTTTCAGCTCTGGAGAAGCACATCTTGCTCCTAATTTCTACAACAAATATTAAAATAAATACCCATTTGCCTATATATACATATTATATGTGTGCTTCCGGATTTAATCATATATTAACTAGTACACAAATTCTGAGTTGATTGTAAACTTATCAATTGACCTAGAAGAAACACAGCTCAATTTTGATTAATTACTGACAACTGAAATATTTTTGAACCAATCTAGATTTTAAAAGAAAGTGCATATGGCGGTCTATTTGATATTACATGTATGGGGTGATGTGTTTACATTTGTGTGCGATTACATTGATTGCAATGTAGATCTGAAAAGGAACAATTGTACGACACAGAAAGGGGTTTGTGAGTTTTGTTCCACTTAATGTTTCTTTAGTCTACTGTTTAAACAGGTGGTTCTCTTAACATCAGAACTTTGACATTTACAGAAGACCATAAAAGATATGCCATTTTTTAAAGTCTGGGTAATGAAATATTTATCGATAATTTCAGACCAGCGGGCTACAGATTTTGAAGCTAGTGTTGATGTACATGTAAATTGGGGAGTAATGACTTTTTCGCTATCTTTTTTTTTTTTGAGCATTTTACCACCATGTTTAGCTGCTTGACCTTGAACATGTTGAGGTGGCCTTTTCTCTGTTCCTCCACAATAATTCTTTCATTTAGCAGCAAGATACTATGGATATGGTAAAAAGCTGTAACAAACAAAATATGAAAAATTAATAACAGGTATGGCTCTCCGTAGAAAGAATATACAAAAAGGAGAAAAAAATTATACAAACAGGGTGTACTTATGACTAAAGCAAGTAGATAACATTTTACACAATGATAAAATTCTCTGTGTCATCTAGTTAAGTGAATTACATAAAGAAACATATATATGTGTAGATCAAATTTATAGACGACAAAATATGATACAAAACATACATAATGGTACCGAACTCTGAGCACATGGAGTTAGAAGATTTACAAACTTTACGAAAATGCAAAGAATAGCATTTACAGCATTTAACATATTAAGACATACGTATCTATAGTTTCAGACCAGCAAGCTACAGATTTTGTGGATGAACATGTAAATTGGGGACTAGTGACTTTTTGCCATCTCTTTTTTTTGAGCATTTTACCACTGTGTTACCTGCTTGACCTTGAATATGTTGAGGTGCCTTTTTCTCCATGTTCCTCCATAATATTTTATTTTATTTAACAGAAAGATACTATGGATAAAAAAAAATATGAAAAATCAATAACAAGTATGGAATTTCATATAAAAAATATACAAACTGATGTATTTATGATTAGAGCAAGTAGATAACATTCATACAATGATAAAATCCTTACACTTTGTGATCTAGTTCAACAAATTATTTCAAAAACATATTATAAAATGAATAAGATCAAATTTAGAGACGACAATACATGATACGAAACTGATGTACATAATGGCGCACCATACCTGGAACACATGGAATTTACGAGTTTACGAAAATGCAAAGGTAAACATCTACAGCATTTAACAAGTTATGCAAGTTATTGGGATAATGAGCAAGTGATTTAACGTAAAATAAAATATATTAACAACTTACACTGTAGATAGCAGGGGTTTAAAGTTGACAGCAAATTCGAAGTTCCAGTAAAAGGTGGCAATCTCATATACATTAAGTCGTACAACAAATGATTAGTTCGTACCTCAAACTGGGTAGCCAAATATCTGGTCATGTCACTTTAAGAAGGAAGGCTCAGCAAGTTCCATGTTGTCAGATCATTTCCACAGATACTCCAAACTTTTCTGGCACAATTTCTGAAAGAAAAGTTGTATCTTGAAGGTTTTTTTGTTCAACTTAGGATTAATTCTGATGAATGTAAAAATTTGAAAAGTTTACAGATGACAGACGGATACCAGACAACTGATCAAAAAACTCGCTTGGGTCTTAAAATGGCTCAGGTGAGCTAAAAAAAATTCAATTCATGTGATTTTATTGATCTTATCTGAAAATTTAAGAAATCTTACCTTTGTGTTAATTTTCATACTGCTATTGTCCTTCTTGTGAGTATTGGGATTCCTGTAATTAATGCATGCATAATTGTGCATCATAGAATATGATAGCTATTTTTAATAATTTATGCTTAAATATCTAATGTAATATAATTATGCATAGCTCTGTGCAATTTATACACTGTAGTATGTTTAGATTAACTGTCAGAATCCATTGCTATTGTATTTTTAGGATAAAGAAATTAAGAATATAAACCTTGTCTTTTTTACTTGGTAAATAGTAGTTCAAGTTGTTATTTTTTATAGTCTTATGCTAAAATATACAAATTAATAAAAACAATGTGAGGTTGTTTGTGTTAAATGAAAATTTAAGCTGCATGGTTCTCACCATTTTCACAAGCTCACTATATACGCCGGCGCTGTGGGGAATCGTCTCATGCACAGTCCACTGCAACTATTAAATAATCAAAATAAATGCTGAATATGATCTTGAACATGCATTAAAAAATAAATATATATATATTTTTTACATTGTACAACATACTCTGTAAATGGTGAACAGGGGAACACTAAAATTCCTGGACCAATCCCAAACGAGGAAATTCTGGTTAAAATCCATCTTTATGAGAGATGTTTAAAAGTCTTAAATAATTATTTCAAAATTAAAATAGCGCTTGCCCAAATGTTTTAATTGTCAGGCATTTTATGTGTAGTGCCCAGACTAAGGAACAGTAGCATTGTCAGTAGCAGAAGCAATTATTCGTTCAAGGACACATGATAAAATTTCGTACATTGTTCCTACCGCAGTACAGGGTCGTAAAATGTCTTCATCTTCTGTCAAAAAAGAAATTCCATCCAAAGCTAATCATGCTTCTCCCTTTTCGCGACACTCTCCTTCGCACTTTCCTTCTGTACAACATCATGATCAAGTTCAATATGGCTGCGTGGAACCGACCAAAAAATTGAATTTCGGCGCGGTGTGTTGTTTAAATTAATTGCTTTTCGAGCCCGACTTCGATCCCGATGTAATGTATTGTACTACAGTATTAGTCGACAGTCTTAGAGAAAAATCTAAGTTATATTCCACAGTTTTGAAAAATCTACATACGGTTTAAATAATTAAAAATGAATAAATGAATAAATAAGAATTAAAATAAATAAATGTTTTTTTTTTAATTTAAATTAAATCAGAGTTAATAAAAGTTAAACAAATGATATATATATCGGAAGTTTTTGCTATTTTGCAATAATAAATATGTAAACAATCTTTTATGTTGATTAAGATAAAGAATTATTTATGACATATTTATAATACCCAAAACATACTTAAACTTTAAGTATAAGCATATTTACTTTTGCATGTCAATATTCTTAAACGAAACGTATAATTTTCTCTATTAAACTATATTATTCTCGATGTATTTTGCATTAAATATGATTATACTTATTTGAAAACTGTAGTTAATTATATCACAATATATTTCATGTAAAATGTACCATTATACATAAATTAAATTCAAAACAAGAAATTTACTGGAGTAAACGAATTTATTAAATTATATTAAACGCGACTTTTCATGCAGTGTTTACCTACTACGCAACGCGGGCGGTTCTTGGAGTTATTTAACACTTTCCTACCTTCTCTACACATCTCTCCTTCATAACCTCTGTCACACCCATCTGAACATGTGCCATTTATGTGATGACACTGTTCTGACTTCAAACAGGAGCCGCACGATTGATTGCAATGCTGTCCATACATCAGACCATCACATTCTACAACATAATATATACAATTATACAAGACGAAAAGTAGCATCTAATAATCATATGATGGAATATTTATTTTAAAGTCCCCGTAAATGAGAAATGAAAATTAGCATTTTTTAAATACCACTTTCACAGGACGTTCCCTTCCATCCGTCGTAACATCCAAAGTCACAGAGCCCATTAAATCTGTTGCAGCCATTGCAGTTTGGCAAACATTCTTTGTCACAATTTTTTCCATATTTACCTAAAGGGCAAGCTGCCACAAAGATATAAACCGACAATTTAAATACTGTGATGGAAACGTGTAAAACAAAATTTGATCTTACAATAAACATAATACAAAGAATAAATAATTCTATTATCTTTTATCATCATTGATGTCTTGGACTGTTTGGAAAAAGGGATAAAGATTCAACAAATGACTTTAAAAAAAAAAAACCTACGTTCTACACACATTTCTCCTTGAACACCTACGTCACATCCCTTTGAACAACTTCCGTTCACGTGATTACAATGGTCTCCTTTGCTACAGTTTCCACAGGTCAGGTTACACTCAAGGCCATATCTATTATTATCACATTCTGAAAAAAGAAACAACAATAAAAATAAATGGATCCCTTCTTTTGCTTTTTGAATATCTATGGAATACAATATCAGTGATAGACGAAATTTAGAACATTAAACCTAATTAAATACGAGGGTCATTCAAAAAGTTCGTAGACTTTTGTCCTAACTTTATTATTTAACGTCATATTATATCCAAATTTGGTACAAATATTTTAACAACAGATTCAAATAATTTGAGTAAAAAAATTGGAATGTATCTTCATATTTATTCAAATTACCAAGGATTTAGAACAGCTCTCAAAATTGAGTAATTTTCTAATTTTCACTTTATAGTATTTCTCTATACCTCTCTCTCTCTCTCTCTCTCTCTCTCTCTCTCTCTCTCTCTCTCTCTCGGAGCAGCAAGTAGCAATAAAATTAGACTTTACATTCGGGAAACGTTTTCTACAAGCTTAAAAAATCCTTATAAACCAGGATCTGTATTAAAAAAAAAATCTGTGTATTTGTATTAAATTGAAATACAATTTTTGAGTGGTAGCGAGTTTGATTCGGACGTCGGATTGTCTGCAAAGAAACAGGTTAAAGTTAAAAATATTGTCAAAAGAGTTAGAAACGTCATTGAACGTGATGTGTGCTTCAATGTGGCAGAAATAATAGTTGCATGGTAAATCAAAGAATTTGAAAACAATAACATTCTAATTCAAGCTATATTTGTACAATTGTTAGCATACTAGGTGTTAAGTGTTGTGGATATGTGTTTTGAATGGAGAAGACGCTACAAACCGTGTCTGAAATAATAAAAATGTGTATACTTTTGACAAACTTTCTCAGCGTTGTTTTTGACGTTACAATATTGGTTAACCGTGCTCCGTGGTAACAAAACATGTTGCTTTAAATTTTGGCTAACATGTGTTCTATTTAATCAAATGAAATGAAACTTCACACTTCGACAAAATAAATGTTTATGGTTACGAAAATGTGTTGATCTATAATCTTGTAATAATCATATGACGATGAGAAGCATTGTCTACGTATTTTTTGAAAGACCCTCGTAGTCCACTAAGAGGGAAGCCGTCGTGAAACATTCGATACAAAAGTATTCACATTAAAAAATATCCATATCTCTCTCTCTCTCTCTCTCTCTCTCTCTCTCTCTCTCTCTCTCTCTCTCTCTCTCTCTCTCTCTCTCTCTCTCTCTCTCTCTCTCTCTCTCTCTCTCTCCTACGTACCTTCCTCACAATGTGGTCCTTTGTATCCGACAACACATCCAGGACATGTCCCATCTTCAATGTTACAATGACCTTCCTGACAATTCTCGGAACATAGTAGAGTGCAGTTTTCTCCATATTTACCAGATTTACTACATCCTATTTGCAGAGTAATAAATAATTATACATGTATATCAGTATTTTTTTTATATATGCATGCAGTTTGCTATATGCTATGTACAGAGTATATTTATTCAGACTTTTGTTTAATGTATGACTATAAGAAACATGTACAAACTTTTCCATTCAAATGTAAAATAATTAATAACTTTCATATTTAAAAAATTGTGTAAAAAAGGATGTATATGTGTTATGTATTTTAATTAGAGACTTGAAAATTTGTTGAATAGTTTACTATAATATAAAAAAAAGTTTTTGTTATACTTATTCAAAGATTTTGCGAGAATTTATCAACGTTAGTTTACTATGGATATCAGAATGTAATATGTTTTATTGTACAAATCATGGTAGCATTTTTTAAAAATATTAAGTAGACGCATTAAATAAATATTCACACGTTGTTTACTGACTTTACATAATGCAGATTTTGGAGCATAATGAATATAGAGAAATTTGAGAAATATTGATTTGCATGATAAGAAGAGTCTACATAATTTTAAATATCTCCGAACCAAATTGAATGAAGCTTTGTTATTGCTAGATATATGTTTTCTTAAATTTCCATGTAAATAAAAAATATTTACGGAAATGGATGTGTATGAGCATTTTAAATATCATTTCCGCTCATGGTTTTGTAAGGGGAAAATTATTTTTGGTGTCATTTTTAGTTGACATATTGGCATTCCCTGACCAGATATGCTTTGCAAATTTTCCGCCTTTATTAACCATTTCTCTACCGGCGCATTTTACTTGGTTTTGTAGACCTTTTGACATAGCATTATAAAATTATTTTAAACTTTTTTTAACTTTCCAAAGAGAAAGTTAAGCATGATGCATACCATTTTGAAGGGCATTTGTAGAGATGATATTTCATGACTACTCAGATACCCAACGACTGAACTAAAATTTTACAATGATGTATGTTGAAATAGGAAATTTGGAATAAACTCACAAAATAGCATTATACTGTACTACATGAATCACATAAACTTTTTTTATGATTTCTGTCTAAAAATATATTACGAACAAAAACGAGAAAAAAACACATATTTAAGTGCAAGAAAATTCTTGTTTTAAAATTTATTTTAAAGTAATAACAGTAATTTTTACATACTTTAAAAGCAAAAAAAATATGCTTTAAGAAGATATCATTTTTTCTTTACTAAGTTAATCAGGAAGAAAATTTCAATCGTCGGGAAAATCGGCATTTGCTTTGGAAAATTACGTCATTTTCAAAAAAAGTCATTTTTGTCTCAAAACATAAAACCTATTTAATACTGACGAAAAAACATAAACTTTTGAGATAGTTTAAAAGTAGAGAAAATTTCCAAAAATATGATATATAGTTTAGATATCTTTTTTTGCTTTCATAACATTGAAACGGAGATCTTTTTTTCGCGAAGTCGCGCTTTAACGCGCCATCGGTCAAATTGACCGGTACGGAAGTGAAGGGGTTAACCAAGACTAATTTATGCAAATGGGATTAAACAAGAAAAAAAATAATAAGAAAACTGTTCATTTGAGCTTGAACTGAAAATTATTTAATTAGGTGTGCACTTACTAACCGTAAACTTCAAATTCACAGAGTTCATTGTATGCGTATGGAGAATATCCATC